GCTTCAGAAGGTATCTATCAAATGAAGGGAACTGCTGATTGTGTTGCTGCTATTTTCTAATCTGCAATGAGACAGGCATCTCTCAGGCACCCATTTGATCTTGGAAGGTAACCGTATCTTAATTCGTACAAGCCAGCTTGAAAAGCAGCAATGCCCTGTTTTGGCAGCTTGCTCTTTTTGTGCAGAGTTTGCTTAAAGCACAGTGTCAAAACTATGCCGCAGACTGTACAATTGTGCCTCAGTTTGAATAAGTTTCTAATCATTTTACCCTTTCGCTTACACTGAAGTGCTTTGAAAATTGCAGTAGTTTGGGTGCCATTTAGGCAGGAAGACAAAAACACAATCAAGTAACAATGTAAGGCCTTATTGGAGATAACAATTTATCTAAAGCCAAGGACTAGTATTGTGAGGTCTAGTAATGATGTAAATAAGTTCTGAAAAAAATCCAGATTACCAGAATGCCTTCCCAAGGAGCTATACTTTTGGCCCTGGTTTGACCTGTTGAATCATTGCTGGGTAGGAACAGGGATAAAATCCAGTAATGTTGATCTCATTGCAAAATAAGTTTCCTTTCTATAATCCCCTCATACTATTGCATATTTTATTTTATTTTATTTTATTTTATTTTATTTTATTTTATTTTATTTTATTTTATTTTATGCTTTTAAAAAATTATATCTAGCCATGATGGAATTGATAACAAGTGCAATTCAGTACGAAGTGGGTGACCTGATAAACCTAGAGGATTCAACTCTTTTCTCCTATTGCTTTAGAGAAAACACTTTGACAACAGATGAACCACAATCTTTTATCTTTATAGTTTATGTTGATGCAAAAATCTGTCTGTGAAGGACTTAGTAGTGCTCATTTCTGGATTATTTGTTTCTCCCTGTCTGTATTTGTGCTTTTCTTTATTAACATGGTTCCCAAACAGATGCACCTTCATTGGAATGAATATATTCATTTTGCATTATTCTGAATAAGGCCTTTACAGGTATAATATGGAAACATGAAAGATGAAAGATCACCTAATGATATTAAAATACTATATATGAACAGATCTTTGTAGAAGTGAAAATGCCAGACACATTTGGACTATACTTCCAAACCAATCGCCTGATGCTGGAGTTTCTCAAGAGCATGGGTAACTTCTCTCACTTCTGCAATTCTGTTGAGTTAACTCATGGAGTTGAGTCATGTTTTTAACAACATGTGAATTTCCCTAAAGAGAGTAAAATGAAAAGAACAACATATTTTTAAATGAATATATGTAGTCCCAAGGCTCAAGCTTCCAATCTAGACTTCAGGTAATTTGTGTTTTCTGTACTGTTGGCCCAAATCAGTTTGTATACTACTGAGACCTATTTCGGTTCACAGCTTTGACATCTCAAAACACTTTCAAATCCTTCCAGCCAGTTGAACATCTCTTCCTGTGTATAAGTCTCTCTGACTGTGACACCAGGATAATGCTCCCATTTGTAGACAAGGCCTTGGCTTTACATCGAGGAGGCCTTTGTCCACTTTATGTAACTGGGAAAATGGCTCAAGTGCCAAAATTTAAATGCCTTTTACTGTTGGAGATGCCATGAAGTATCCAAGATATCCAGACAGTGGAAAATTTCCCCTGATTCCTTCCTCTGAACAGTGAAAGGTCTGAGCAAAATCTTTCTTGAACTAATGATTCTCAAATTTGCTTTTCCAGTTTACAGCTGTAGCTAGGTCAGGTCTGGACGTGGACTAGTCAGTTTTATATACTAACAGCAGCTTTCTTAGTAGAACAGGTTACAATAAATCAGTGCCTTGAGACTGTATGTGAGACAATATATTTGGATTATAAACATGATTGCTATTACTATTACTATAATGCCAAGGGAACCACAAAGAGTTAGGTATCGAAAGCTACACACAGTACATGTCAGTTTATTTCTAAAATAACCACTTTAATAAAAATGAAGAAAAAGAAAAGCTGTCAATTTGTTGCACATTTAGAGTGTCTATAGTAGCTGCTTTTGTCCTTTTTTTATATTTTCACAGTTGCAAAACCATTGATTGCATTTATAGTTTTAAATAATTCATCTGAATACATTTGTCAGAATTTTATTTTTCATTGTTTTTAGGTTCAGGGCTCCTGTGCCTTAGGACTGACAATCAATCTTTTGATTGATTTTGTATTTTCTATTTAAATACTAGATTTTCAAAATTGCTGTGAGTCAAACTCCTTCAGTCCTTTGGGAGTAATAATAACCCAAAATATATTAATTTCATGCAATTTCCACCTGGTCTCTTGATTTTTCCTAATATGTATCAAAGTATTCTTTAACTGCACATATCACTGCTTTCTTCTTGGAAACTGAAACCACACTGTCTCTGCTGAAATCAGGAATTTGCAAATGTCATTGAGGCAAAAGAAACAAAATCAGTAGGCCATGAAGGATTGTGATTACACTTCCATTTGAACTGTTCAGTTATTGGAGATTGACTCAGCAATTGAAGGTACAAAAGTTCTGTGTTCAGTCCATAACAAAGGGAGTAACATTAAAAATATGAATGGAAGACTGCTTATGGAAAGTGCTATGGAACAGCATAAATGTGGTTATAGAGGGTCACATCAAACTATCCTGGCAACATCAATAACTTAGGAAAAGCTGCAGGAGCAAGAAAAGCCCATTAGTACAACCCTCCCTCTTTACCTCTAGCATTGCATCTTAAATACCTTCTGGACCGGATCTATTCATCTGGCTAAACACAACTGTTTACAATAAAAACAATAAAATCTGAGCTATTCAAAGTAGGCTTCCTTTATAGTCAGCCATGTCCTATCTGTGACTTACCTTACACTAATAAAGATGATTAAAATAGTCCGGATAAATCACATTCTTTTGTCTTTTTACAATAAGCTGAATCTAACTGAGTAGTTTAAAGATCTATTACTGCCCCAAAAGATATCAACAATTAATCAAGGTGGGTTTCTTTTTTTTCTAAATATCCTTTTATGGACTTTATATCCGTAGAAGTCCTACAGGCATCTAACATCCACAATAACAATCTTCAAAGAGTACCACAGTTGAAAAATAACCGCATGAAGAAACATTTTAACTTGCCCGCTTAGACTTGGCAAATATAAAAAGACAACTTCTAAAACCTGTGTATCTTGCTCACCTGGTGTGAGCCTGGTATGTTCCTATACTCAATCCAGAAAAGCCATTCCTTTTGGGATGGGGCAAGTGTAAGGATGGAGACAATATTTGTAGCACAAGCCTTATTTATTTGCTATTTCTCTTTTCTCTCTTTTTTTTTTTTGTTAATAAATTCTCAGAATTTGAATGTTGGCCAGCTTTACCAGTTTTCCATGAGATTTAGGGGATGATATAGCCAAGGTCTTTGTTTTCCTGTGAGATTCCAGAGATTTGAGACAATACGTATTTTCCTAGAACTTGAGAGCTAGGACAGAACATGATTTGTTTTAAAGACAAACCTGACATGGTTATGCCTGATCTATCCCACTGAGAAAACTGCTGAAATTTATCCCTGAGAAGAAGAGCATTTAAAAATAGCTCTAGCTCCTTGAGGTGAAACTGTGTGTCATTATGGGTTCCTGCAGATGGAGAGTGAAGCTTTCCTGGAGAGGCTTTTTCCAAAGTCTTCTCTGTCTTTTAAATACAAGTATGGATGGCAGCTCGTAGCTGTCATAATGTCAAACATGCAGGTGGTTCTCCTTGCTAGCATGTAGAACACAAGCATCATCAAACCCGGATGATATGTGCCTTTGGGTCTGTTCTAAGTTGATGTGAAGCGTGCAGTGGCAGGGCAATGCTCAGCAATGCAAATTAATTCCCTCATCATATGCTAGAGATTATCACAGTCTCCTAGGATGTAAGATTGACCTGTGTGGATGAAGTCTCCCAAATAACCTGAAGTACTAGTAGACTGAGTCCAGGTTTGCTTTTTCTGTTAGTCCTATCACACTTAACAACTGAGGCAAAACAAGCCACTGGGGAGACAAACTATCTCCATAGTTCTCCATCCTCAAGAGGGATGGTCTTCAACAAGAGAGATCTTCACTCCCTATTGGATACGGGAAATATACAGCAGGGGAAAATTGCTTGCAGTGAACAAGGATGACCTGTCTCACCTGAAGGGACACATGCACTGATTTTCTTTGCGTTTTTCAGAGCATATTTTGAACATTTGCAGTATCTCTTTAAACTGATCTAGTGAAATCTGAGATTGTATTTCCTTTAAATTTATATCTCCCGAATATTCAGTGCAGAAGGAATAAAATCTTATATTGATTTCTGGGAAGAGGCCCCATTCTTATTTTGTAGGTGCTATGAGATTACTTGCATTCTCTCATTTGTTCATTTTTCTTTTCTTTTCTTTTCATTTTGTTTTTTATTTTCTTCACTTTTTTTTTTTTTTTTTTTTTTTTTTTTTTTTTGTAGTGGACTACCTTATGGTTGTAAAGATTAAAAAAAAGAGAGATTTAGATCAAGTCATCTCAATTTAATTGTCATTGCATTCTCTTTTGACAAGAAAGCTGCTTTGTATTCACTGTGAAGAAAGGAAGAAGAAACCATTAAGAAATGGGCATGGTAAAAGATTGAGAGAATGAGCTTTTAATTTAGCTTTGAGTCCTGAGGGATGTAAAAGTAATGCCCAAAACTCGTTAGAAACTGATGGAAGTCCAAACAGAGCCTCAATTAATTCCTGATTCCCCTTTGAATGATTTCCTTTCAGCGTTATAAGAGGAAGAACTGTGATAAAAGAAAGCAAACACACTGGAAATTGTATTTTTTTATGGATAGAGCAACATAAAAAAACTTATGAGCACAGTTTAGCCTGAAGTCTTCTGAACAAGATAAAGAATCCTTTGTAGTTTCCTCTTCCCTTCTGAGGATTTTTCTTTTTCTTTTTCTTTGAGGACCTCAGAGTTTGCTAATATATCTTCACAAGTTCTTCAGCTATTTTAAATTTGTAATTGTCCTTTCTTCACATGTCAGGTCACAGCAACACACTCCAACTGCATCATTAAAAAGGAGCAAGAGACATGTCTGGAGAAGATACGAAGGGCAGCTGCTCTGAACCCTCTCAATGACTCTTCTCCTGGTGAGTGTCAGCCCAGATTGGCATGTGCACATTGAACTGACATTTTCTAAGCTTATCCTGACTGCAAGCACAAGATTCAACTAATATCAGCACAAAAAGCTTATTGAAATATGTAATATTGCAGTTATGCAGTTAACTTAGAGACCCACGGGGATCTATCGGGCAATTGTTGGTTACTACCTAAGGTAAGGAGTTGATTACTAAAAATAAATAGGTAGATAGATAGATAGATAGATAGATAGATAGATAGATAGATAGATAGATAAAAATGTGCCTGGAAAGGTCTTGATAGAGATTTTGTGTTCTTCTGATCCAGTTGGTTGCAGCTGTCAGGAACTGGACATAAGAACGAATACATCATTTGTCTCTTCTGAAACAGCAATTGCTCTATCCCCTTCTCCATCTCAGCAATAATTTGTGCCACTCTTTCACCTGGTTTGAAGACTTTTACAGGGCTTAACATTGTGGAAACTGTAATCTTGATAAGGAATGGCTGTGCTATTGCTGAGATAAGAAATTGAGGCAGCAAGCAAAGAAGAAATTAATAGTTTAATATCCTGTTTCATTTTCCACGGACTACAGCAAGAACTGCATATGGCCAACACCAAATGAAAGAAGGGCAAAGAATGACAAAGAAATTAATTGGAAATCCACTTTCTGAATCTTGTCCAAACTGCTTGTACTGTGACTTTAGTTGTTAAAACTTCAGAGAACTGTGGATAAATTGCAGTAGGTGTGTGATAAAAGAAGAGAAGCATCCGTCCCTCTTTCTGGGCTGTATGTTCTAATCTGGGAGCAAAAGAGGGAAAGGTACAGAAATCTGTGCCACTAGAGTATCCTGTACAGCAAGCTATTCCTTCAGTTGAACTGACAGGAATATTCCCATCAGAGTCCTGGTGTTCAGCTCATCTTTGCTCTGCTTCCCAGCTTCTAGCAAAAGATTTGGTAGAACCAAGGAGAATGTGTACTTCAGACAGTACATTTCTGCCCAAGGGATGCTCCTGTAATTCTGAGATCCTCTTTTCCAGATTTTTCCTCTGCTGAAAAGTGTCATAAGCAAGGATAGAAGGAAGAAAACAGTTTCTCTTCCACAGGATGATGTCAGAATCTGATTATGATGCATGCTCCTAAGAATTATGCCATGTTTTTTTTTTTTTTTCACTCAAGAATTCAAAAGTTTTTCCAAGGTCAAAGAAGAACCTTCTAACAGCTGGTTCGTTATTTATGACTCAGATCCAGAGTAGCCCCATTTATTTTGATAGCTGAGGGGCTATCAGAATAAATTTCAGAGACATTTATTCTCTGGATTAAAAGAAGGCTGTCCTGCTGGATTCAGCAACAACCTTCCCCTTTGTCTATTCCAAATTGAACGAGAGTAAGTCAGACACAGAAGAAGTATAGAACCATTTGAAAATTTCTGGCATATTTCTTGTATAAAAGCCATTTTTATTCCTTTGAACTTCTTCTTTTCTGTTTTTCCATACTTGTTTTTGTTTTTTTGATTTTTAATTTTTGTAAATATATTTTATATCTATTACTATCGTCTCTAGTAGACTGAACTGAATAGATCCATCTCCTGTGTTAGTGAAATGGAGCAATACTTACCGTGGCTCAGACTGACTTCTAAAATGAAAATAAGATACCAATCAGTATTTGGAGAAGTTTGCTTTTTAAACTGTCAGAAGAGATGATAAATACCCACAGGTTAAGGCAGTTGTACTTATAATGTGTTGATCCTTCTCAGTTTCCACCTTGTTCAGAAAAGCTATTTTTCTTCTTTTTATTCAAGAACAAGGAGGAGAATAAAATTACCTCTTCCTCCTTTTCACTGCCCCTCAGAGAAAAATCCCACAGATAATTTGAAATGGAAATTCACTGAGGATTTCACTTAGCCCTCAGAGGAGCTGCAGTAAAAATAATGGGATAAAGTTTTAGGGAGAATATAGAGATTCAGGCACATGCACAGGTTATTACAGCTTTATAAACTGTAATCTCCAAAAAAAATCTCAAAAAAAAAAAACTTGCACATCATCTGAAGTATAGAAATCTCTGTAGGCAAGGCATTTTATTTTGTTTCAGGTTACACTAGATCAAATGACCCCATATGAAACTTGAGTCTAGGAACTGAACAGATTTGTGGTTTCTTTTTCTATAGTACCTAACATAATAACTTTGTAGATCATGAATTCTACTCCAAGGTACCCCCATAACACAGAAGTGACAGTAGTAGGTCTCTGGTGCTTTTAAAGACCTGTTCTTTCCTAATGATATTTCTTCCAGCCAAAAGTACTTCCAGTAAAAATATACAGAAAGCAATACCCTTTGAAATTAAAACTGGAAGGAGATCTTATGGGTTCCCATCTTCTGCATTAACTCAACTGTCCTCCCTTCGCTTTGCCCCCTTCCTGTGTTCAGCATCTGTGAACGCAAACATCAACTAAACGATTTCCTAGAGCTCCTCTGGGTGAGGTCCAACACAAGCAAAATGTTAATGCTGCGTCTGTAACTACAAGTCTCGAACAGCAAGGCTCGCACTGTTTTATGGAAAGCAGACTGCTGAAGTAGACTAGAGCTCTGATGTTTTCAACCTTCCTTCACCCTCAGGCTCCCATCCCCAGATGTTATGTTCATTACTGTTTTATTCTTCACAGCAGTTTTCTCTGACTCCTCTGCTGTGCAGTGCCTATAATGCTTTAGAAACAATGAGTGCCTTGAGATTTTCTATTAGTTTTATGTGAACTTCATCATGTCTTCTTCCTCTTAAATGCTTTAAAATTCTCCAGGAGAATTTATAAGAAAAGAAATAAGGGCACCCTATGTCTTCATCCCCTCCCAACCATCACCTACAAAGCCTGTATGGAAAAGAGATTTTTAAGAAAATGAAATCTCAGTAGGACCGAGTCTATTTTTTTTTGCTCTGGAGAAGGAACTCCAGTGACAAAATAAAATAATGAATGCTGAAGACACAAGAGAAAGAAAGGAAGGGAATGATTGCTTCAACTCTTCACAGGATGGGGGAGCAAGTTATTTCTTGCAGCAGTATCTGTTTGCTTCAGTTTTTGTCCTTATTCTAATATACATATGCACTGAGTTCCATGTGGAACCTCTTCTAGCTGTCAACTGTCCTGCTCTGTCAACTCTCCTTGAGGGTTTTTCTGCTACCAGATAATGATTAAAGTCCACTGCTGATGTGTATGTGATGTAGTGATGTGCGTATGTGCCCTATTTTTTGTGCAGGAGAGAAGTATATAATTTGGTTGTATAATACTGACTAGTTTGTGCTAAGGGTGTATGTTACTTGAGAGAATCTGGACCATGACTCTTATTGTAGGATATTTTAAAATGTAGATACCAGATTCTGGATATTTTATGTCATTCATCTATTTAACTGCAGTAGAGCTACTTACACTTGTGCAAACGTTTTTTTCCAGACAGGGATTCCTTGAGCGATGACCTCCAAAATCAGGCTGGTGCTTAGCACCCTGCAGATTCACACCTGGTTAGCTAGCCCCATTCCCCCAGCCCTTCCCCTGAAATATTTTGAAGGAAAGTAACATATTGCCAGACAAGCAAAGAAAAACAAATGAAATAAGTATTTGGAGGGATAAAGTCCCTATAGTAATCTTGTTTTAGAGGGGAACTCTATTAAGAAATACCCCACTGATAGAAAGCTACAGGAAAAAAAAACTGATAGGGGTGCCTGAAGATGTAGGAGGAGGCACTTAGGAGGTAATGATGGTAATGCAAGGAGAGGGAAAATCACAGCAGGACTTTGGAAGTGTTTTCTTCTTCCTAGAATGATAGAGCACAGTTTCTTAGTTTAGTTTTAGATTTTTACTGCATCCCTTCTCAGCCTCCTGTTATTTCACAGCCATTTAGTTACCTGTTCTTATTTCAGTTGGCAGCACGGTAAGAATTTATTTCATTATATGCTTGTGCATACTGGGAGGGTATGACTAAGGGAATATGCCTCTGTCTTCTCTGCCTGGCTCTTATCTGAGACAGGATGCTGATCTAGATAGCTCTGGACTGCCTTAAGTCAAAGATGACTTTTCTGTTGCTGGATTTCTCTACATAACACTGCATAGATTTTCTGCTACTACACTTAAAGTTAGAGATGGTAGAAACAAGCAGGAATTTAAAGGTAGAATTGAGGGATCACTCAAAATCAAAGGATTCATGCTTATTTTAAATCTTTCTTACGGAGAACTCCATGTGAACAGACACCTGAGTAACTCTGAATAATTGTGATCACGTTTTATATATTTAGACAAATGGAATAAAAAGAGTTTCACTGATTTTTTTTCCAGATATTGATTCTGTCTTTTTCTCTTTTCTGAATGCCTACTGTCAATAGGCTTTTTAGAAGCCTATTTAGAAGTCTGATCATTTGATAAATGGATGGGTTCATGTCACCTAATTCTGGTTGCAGATAGTATAGAAGCTTTTATTAATGCTAGCTATTCAGAGTGTGTTTATGGTCAAAGGAATTTGCAATTATTTACAAAAAATAATGTAACTATAAATTAATATAAAATAAATATAAAGTAATTATTGAAAATAAATATAAAAGTTATTTACAAGTGATTCCTTTGCCCTGTTTTAGGGATACAACTTATATTGCTAAGAATCTAGAAGTGCATCTTTCTTTCCACTGTCCAAAGGCAATTAAAGGCAGGTCACATGTAGAAGGCTACTTCATGGACGGATGAAGCAGTGGGTATGAATACTACTGATAATAGTGCAGTGGTACTGAGTGGTACTGGAATGAATAGAACCTTCGTAATTCAGTGGCCTAGAACAAACTGTGCTAGAAAACAGTATTCCAAAAAAAAATTCTTAGAGTGACAAAAGGTGCAAGAGATTTTTCAGGCCTATTGTAAAGTCAGTCATAGTAGGGAAGATGGAAGTGGGATCAGCTTTGGTGCAAGATAGAAAAGGCTTTGTGTCACGAATAAGCTAATTTGGAATGGTCTTCAGGATAATGTCTTGCCAGCCTC